TGTTTGTTATGAGGGATTCGAGATAATTAAACTTTTCGATCACTTCAAAACCATCGATTTCTCTTTAGGATTTCGGTCTATTATCTACCCTCAGCCTTCTCATTATTTGAGCCAAGTTCTTCCTTTGAACATACAAAAATTAACGTGTCATCGCATACCTAAAGTTTGTGATATTCTAAGTTTCAAGGAAAAATACTTTCAAACTCGATATTTAATAGGAATAAGTCGCGTTACCATCATTTTATATTACCAAATAGTGATATAAAGGAAGTATCTATTTGATACATCAACCGTCTCATTTTTCATAACATTCCTGTAGTCACGAGACCAAATAAATAATTTTGTGTATAATGTTCTCGTGATCTACGTTATCATTATTTTGTTTGGTTACTAGATATTGTTTTCCGTGATAGGTTCATTACAGAAAATGTAATAGTATCGTATTTGCCTAATATAGATTTCATTCATAATTTCGTTGACTCCATATTCAATGGTAATAAAAAGGTAATTCTGTCTCTTATTAGTTCAATCATTTTGTGTACTTTTGGCTGGAAAATGTTCCGGGAGTTTTGAGTATTTTTATAGATCTCTATATAGCTCTTACCGAATTTCTTATTTTTCTTTGCCACTTCGTATCTTTCCCTATATATGTATGTACGAGTATATACATACATTATGTCCCCGGATTGTCTTTACAAGAGGAAAAATTGTTAAAATTGATATTTTGAGGAAAGGTACCCGGTGGCGTAGAGGTACAGGCTCTCGTCTACCAATCTCAAGATGTGGGTTCGATTCCCACACCCGGCATTTCATCAGCCGACTATTTTTATTAAAATAAAAATAGTTTAGGTACCTAGGTCGACTCAGCCTTAAATGAGTACTTGGGATTCTCACAATCCTGAGATAATAATAGGCGGTTGAAGCGTAGTGGTAGCCACATTATCTTCCTTGTATACCTAACGGCTCTACTATAGCAAGCTGTACCATGCTACTCCCAAGGCGTTAAACGCTATATACGGGAGCTATTATTATTATTATATTTTGAGAAAAATGCAATCTTCATAAAAATTTTTGCTTGTTGTAAAATAAATAGCTAATCTCGTCTATACTTTTCCAAATTTCCATACCGTTTCAGAGAAAATTAAGAAAAACATGAAAAATATGATCATTTTCTAAGTCCTAAAAATCAAAACGCGTTTCTATGGTAAAATAATTTCGTTTTCATAGATTGCTATTCATAGAATTTTAATTAACGTCTGATTTTTTGCTTTTTAGAATGTTAAAGAAACACAAAATTTATTTAGTTTAATGCTACGGAAAGGGTGATAATGGTTATCGGAAAATGTGGTACTTTAACAACAGCAAAAAATATGACATTAATGAAAATTAATAATAACCATCTATCAACGAATGAAATTTAAATTATATTACCATAGAAACGCGTGTTAATTTTTAGGACTTTTAGAGAAAAAAATAACATACCGGGTGTTGCATCGTCGAGCGGGACATAGGAAATCCCATGTAAATTTTAATGGGGTCAATTATTCGCTTCCCTAATTATTTTAGAGAATAATTCTATTTAGGTCTATTGAAGAGCACTAAAACCCACATTTTTAAGAATAACTTTAGATATTTTTGATTAGCCCGTTTACGAGTTATCGCCGATTTCTTTTTAAATATTTCTCCTTTCTTATGGCCCTGTATTTACTTATGAGCATCAGTCAAGGTAAAAGATAATGAAAATAATGAAGTCATTTCAGAAATTTATCTATTTACCCAAATCTAGACGAGTTAAAAAATGCTATTTCTGCCGAATGCAATAGAATTTCAGTTTACCAACTAGCGAATGTAAGAAGAGAAATTTATGATCGACTGGGTTATTGTCTAGCAGTCGATGGAGGAATATTTGAACATCTTCTTAAATCCTAAAGTTCTAACAATTTAATAATACCTAAATTAATAAGTTATTGAATATTGTAATAATACTATAATTAACCTTGTAATTGATTACTTTATTTTACTTTAATTCATATTAATTTGTATTTATAAATACATCTTTAAGATTTCCGATGTAGGAATCAGTTCTCAATAATAATAAAGCACTAAATAGGTAAATTTCTGAAATGACAACTTCATTTGACAGTTATCTTTTACCTTGACTGGTGCTCATAAGTAAATACAGGGCCATAAGAAAGGAGAAATATTTAAAAAGAAATGGGCGATAACTCGTAAACGAGCTAATCAAAAATATCTAAAGTAATTCTTTTGAATGTGGGTTTTAGTGCTCTTCAATAAACCTAAATAGAATTATTCTCTAAAATAATAAGAGAAGCCAATAATTGACCCCATTAAAATTTACATGGGATTTCCTATGTCCCGTCCGACGATGCAACACCCGGTATATTTACATGTTTTTTTTAATATTGGGCCTGATGAATAAAGAGAAGCAATTGCTTTTTCTATAGAACTATCTTTTGTTGGTTGTTTACAAATTGTATAAGTATATGTCAAGAAATTTAAGTAAAAGTTTTTGCTTAACTTTTATTCGCAAGACCCATTATCCAGTATGGAAATTTGGAAAACTATAAACAGGATTAACCATTTTAGAACAAGCAAAATTGTTTATAAAGAATGCATTTTTCTCAAAATATCAACAATCAGGGGTGGACACAGGAATTTATTTTAGGGGGGGCCCAAAATAAAAAGTAATGTAGAATATGCATTTTAGGTCGCCATTTTTAACCAAAAAGCCTGATATTTAACACAATTTACAGATTTTAGGGGGGGCCCGGGCCCCATGGGCCCCTCCTCTGTATCCGCCACTGTCAACAATAAAAAAGTTTCTCCTCTTGTAAAGACAATCCGGGTACATACTTACTACATACTGTATACTTAGAAATCACTAGACTAAATTTAAATTTTTTAATTAAAAAAATATTACTATATCATTAGATTGATCTAATTAATATTATCATAACATTTATAACTACATTTTATGACTTATCACAGTTAGTTTTTTTTTAATATTTAGTGCCTAGACACGATTAATTTCTAAAATAAAATGATAGCAAATATTTTTATAGTATATTGTGTATGATATTGTGTGTGTTCGTCAAATCAGTTAAAGCATTTCATACTGACGAAAAATTATTATTCGTATACCGGGTGCCTCTCAAAAGTAGCTCATCCCTATAACTTTTTTATTTTTTCAGATAAAAAATCGAGATTTGGTATGTTAGTATATGACATAAATTAGAATTGATTGACGTATTTAATTGTTTTCGATCATTTCCTGTTTTACCGGAAATTACTACAACTTTTGATTTTTAAAAGGCACACTCGGTATTTTGTTACTTTATTTGATAGAAAATGACACTCTGAATAGAATGACATATCATATATGTCAACTTTTGATATTTTCGAATATGGTATATTTGAAATTTCCACATGCGATTCATAACGACAATTTGACTCGAAATACCAAGTGTGTGGTACCAAATTATTCGTAAAAAAATGCCTTTTCCAAATATGCTAATGAGCCACCCTCGTTTCAAAAAATTGAGGTATAAAAATACGATTTGAGGGACAGACACGAAAAACATTAGACGATCAAATCTATTTTTCCAAGGCTCCTTGATTAAAAGTTAGTGTTTTTAACTCAGCCATGGCACTCTAGATTGAAATTTAAAATACTGTTAAAATTATGTTTTAAGTGATATGTCATACTATTCAGAGTGTCATAGTTTCTATAGAATAAAGTGAAAATATACTGATGGTGCGAAAAATCAGTCCTGATTTATGTCAGATACCGTATGATCGAGAAAAAACGGCGTCAGCGATGGCTATGAAATGAAGATCGCTGTCATTTTATATGTAAAATTATATGGGGAATGTCATCGATGTTCATTTCCAAGCCAACTGGGCGCCGTTTTTATTCGATCATACGGTACTAACAAACCAAATTTCAATTCTTAATCCAAAAAAAATAAAAATGAGGCATAAGGACGAGCCACTTTTGAAAAACATTTGGTATATGCTGACATTTTAAGAAATACCCCTCTGTCATATAATACATAAAAGATAAAAAAGTACCGTATGATGGAAAAAAAACGGCGTCCAGTTGGCTTGGAAATGAGGATGGATGACATTTCCCATATAATTTTACATATAAAATGACAGCGATCTTCATTTCATAGCCATCGTTGACGCCATTTTTATTCGATCATACGGTAATAGAAATTATTTTATCTGTTTATGTTGCCAATTTTAGATCATTTTTAAACATAAATCATTTAGATGGAATCAAGTAAAGGCAATTCTAAAATTACTAAATAATTTAAAAGTTAGTGGATTTTTTAAGACCACTAATATAGATAAAAGGCAGAATTTAAAGCACCATAAAGCTTCCCTAACTCAAGGTGTTTGGCTTAATACCTACTATACAGTTACTAAATTCTGCGTCGATAAAAAAAAGTCCCTACCTATGTTAAAAAATTTCAAAATTGTTTTTTTATATATTTTTAATTATCTGTATTTCCGGTAATTCTTTGTAAATTATGAACTTCCTGTTAGTATAGGCAAGGTTACAATAAAAAAATGTGTAGTAAAAGAAATCACTCTTGTCTACCCTAATAAAAAATCATAATTGAATTTTATACTGTTATAATCTATATATAAAGGCCTTGATAAATATTGCTATACTTCAATTCATTTCAAAATGTTTCTTTGTTAGAGTATTTCCTATATTTTATTACTTTTTGTTTTATAAATTGATGGTGATTAAAAATTTTATCGATTTGATGTTTTTAAATTGATATTATATTATTTAGTATATCACATATTTATTAAAACAAATAGAGAGCATGTATCGTGATGCTATTTGAATGATTTCATCATTTATTCTATAATTGCTGCGTGAAAGATATATTGTGCAAATTTGAAATAAAATCTTTGTTTTTCGAAGAATATCTTGCATCATTGACCAGGATAATAATAACAAGTTTATCATCTTAATACTACTGATTTATTACAAGAATAAATATATCACATCATAACAAAAAACACAAAAGTTTACTTAAACCTACTTAAAAATACTTGAAAATAAAACTACTTGAGCACATTTAACTTTAACTAAATAATACCACAGAGTTTTCGTAATACCTTAGAATTTAAATTACAAAAATATGAACAAAAGACCGTTAGAGGATTAGCCAGAATATCTGGCCATTTCTTTCTCTATCAACACTTCAAGTGTTAAAATTTTAAATTTTAAAAAATAAATAAAATTAACACCTAAATTAACCTTAATGGTTCAGCGCGAGTTTCAAGAATTCTTCCCTTGTTTTTTGGTTGTCTCTGAATTCCCCCAACATGGTTGATGTCACTGTTTTGCTGTTGATTTTTTGTACTCCTCTCATTACCATGCACATATGACTGTAAGGAAAATAATGTGTAAATAAAACATATAATAATAGCCAAAAAATAATTTTGTGCGATGAGTTTTTTTTCTCGGTACAATGTAAATATTAAAATACTTACGATCCTTCAACTACAACTGCAACTCCTGTTGGTTGTACAGCTTTCAAAACAGCCACAGCAATTTGTTTGGTTAGTCGTTCCTGTACTTGAAGCCTTCTGGAATATACTTCGACGATTCTGGCTAATTTGCTAAGGCCCAACACTTTTCCTGAAGGCAAATATCCAATGGAAACTTTTCCGTAGAATGGTACTAAGTGGTGTTCGCACATGGAAAACATTTCTATGTCTTTTACTACCACCATTTCATCGTGGTTTTCATCGAAAATAGCATCATTGAGAATTTCTTCCAAGCTTTGGTCATATCCTTTAGTAAAATACAACATTGCTTTGGCTGCTCTTTCTGGAGTTTTTAGCAAGCCTTCTCTGTCAGGATTTTCACCGAGGGATGATAGTAGAGTTCTGTAAACATTGACCATTTCAGGAATTAGGGCTTCTCTGGTAGGTACTGACTTTTTACTTTCGTGGTAGGAACATTTTTCATCACCTTTAACGCAATGGCATTTCGGTAGAGATAGTGTCTTACTTGGTACCACTTCATATCCATTTTGTCCATTAACAACCCCATTGGAATGTCCGTTGGCTTCGGTTTGTACCAATCTCTTCTGTTTCGTGATGACTGAAGGCAGGTCTTGTCCGTTTGAGGCACCAATTTCAACCATGATGAATGTAAAAATGTAAAAATTACAAGCGCGAAATTTAAAATGAAACTAAAACGTTAAAATCGTTTTAAATAAAAGCTGTTATTAGCTGCAGACAAAGATGTCAACAAACTACAATAACTATGGATTCATTAGTTTTATACGGTTTTGAACTTGTGACGTCACAGCGCCATTGAAACAGCTCCTCCTTTCCTCGGATTGGTATCAATCAAGTGTTGTCCGTATCCTTGGTGGTTTTCTATCGCAGTTTCGCTTACATAGTAGCGTTGTGTTGTTGTACGGTCCTTGTCGCACAACTAGCCCGAATTAATAGTGAAATAATTTCGAATTGAGAATACCCACAAGCGATGACTAATTAATTTATTTTACTTGGTAATTAAAGATGCTTCCGATATTGTTTTGTTAGATGAAAACATTTGAATGGATCTGGTGGTTTTTGCGACATATTTAGTATCAGTTTTTTTAAAGACGTATTTTTCAGAAAAAAAACGCCTGGTTTCTCTAATATCTAATAGTAACTTTATGATTATTTCAAATATCTTTTATTATTTCATAATGATGAAATTATTTTATAACATATAGTTATTTAATGTTACTTTGTTTTGTCTATTTTAATAAAACTCTTTTCTCATTTTATTTTTTGTAGTTGCATTTTTAAAGTATGTATTTCATTAGATTAAATTTTTCATTCTATAATAGTCAATTATTTTTCGGGATTATAGGTTCTTTATTATGGTCTCTATTATTGTACTTATCCCGGGATTTCTAAACAGGATCAAAATCCCTAAAATTGGACACTGGCTGACATAAACTGGTTATAGATCTTTTTGAATATAACTACAGACAAACACAAACAACTATAGTAGTTTGCGATATAACGACACTTACGAACGAAACTTACAATAACATTATTTGACCATAATCAAAAAAGTCATGTTTTTTAAGTTTTATATAGAAACTTTTGTTTGTCTTTAGGGATCAAACAAGCTATAGATTCAAAAAGTTTACTTTTTAACAATATTATTTAAACAGCTTTGAATATAAAAAAAAATTCTGTTTCTTTGCGAGTTTAGAAAATAGTATATTTGTATTATTAAGAGTAAAATTACACTTTTTGTGGCGAGGCTGTAGGTTTGACATACAGCCGAGGGTAAAAAAAGTCATTTTTACTCTGAATAGAACATGCTATTTTTTTCAAACGCCACAAATAATTTTTTAAACAATTTGAAACGTTCCAAATAACATAAAAAGATTTAAAAATCATACCTTGTCTGTAATTATATATCAAGAAACCATGATTACGCTCGTTGAATATGACACTTTTATTATGTCAGTTTAATAATATATTTTCGTACTTTTATACTTAGACGTACAAGTGCTTCACTTTTATGCCTAGGCGTTAAAATGACTTTTTATACTGTCATCAATCAAGTCGCAAAAATTAATACTTTTGTGACGTTTGAAAAAAATAGTATATTGTTTTATTAGGAGTAAAATGATATTTTTTTAGCGAGACAATTTTTGTAAAATTACATGAGAAATGTCATCGATCGTCATTTCATAGCCATCGCTGACGCCGTTTTTATTCGATCATACGGTATATTGTTTTATTAGGAGTAAAAAATCACACTTTTTGTGGCGAGGGTGTATGTACATACGGGCGAGGCAGAAAATGTCATTTTTGCTCCGAATGCTATTTTTTTCAAGCGTTACAAATATTTTTTTAAAGAAATTTCAAAGTTCCAAATATTATAAAAATATTTAAAAATATCGTATCTTGTATATATCGACAAACTATGGTTACGCTCGTTAAATTTGATACTTTATGTCAGTTTAATAATATATTTTCGCACTTTTATGCTTAGGCGTTAAAGTGCTTTACTTTTATGCCTAGGCGTTAAAATGATTTTTCATATTGTCAATCACGTTGCAAAAACTAATACTTTTTTAACGTTTTAAAAAAAAAATGTTTCTAGGTATCTTTTAATAAACTTTTTTATAAAAATATTTTTCAGCAGCAAAAAAAACTGTTGTAATTTTTTTATTTATAAGTAATAGATACCTACCTGTTAAATATTCATAATATACAGGGTGGTCCGAATTGTATTCCGGAAACTTCGGGGGCATATTCTGCAGATAAAAAAAGTAAAAAACTTCTTATAAATGTATGTCCTAAAATGCTTAGTTTCGGAGATACAGGGTGTAGAAGTTACATTTTTATTTCGATTTTTTCCAAAAAATTTCTGAAGTAACGTCAATATTTGGATGAAAATTGGTTTCTGTTAGTTTTTTGATATGAGAAATTTGATTTTGATGTCATTATGACTCCTATTTGTAGAGGGCACCACCTGCATGTATTTAAACTGTTTTGAAGAGTTATAACTTTTTGTCCGTACCTGTATAGAACTGCTGAGTGCAAAAATATACATTTTCGTATTTTTTTACGTAAAATATGTCTCTTGGTAAAAATCGTTACGAGCAACCCTTCTCGAGATATTTAGAATGGGAATAGTCAATACATGTCATTATTGACAAAAAATAAACATGTTGAGTAGATAGTTAATTGACTAAAAAGATAATAATAATAATAATAGCTCCCGTATATAGCGTTTAACGCCTTGGGAGTAGCAAGGTACAGCTTGCTATACTAGAGCGGTTCGGTATACAAGGAAGGCAATGTGGCTAGCACTACGCTTCAACCGCCTACTATTACCTTAGGATTGTGAATCCCAAGTACTCATTTAAGGCTGAGTCGACCTAGGTACCCAAACTATTTTTATTTTAATAGAAATGCCGGGTGTGGGAATCGAACCCACACCTTGAGATTGGTAGACGAGAGCCTGTACCTCTACGCTACCGGGCACCGTGTGACTAAAAGGATAAATATGGAAAATTTTTATTTTTTTAAATTAATCATAAAATTTTCTTCGAAAATATGATGATTGATGATGGTTTGGCACAAGAACATTTCAAATTTATGATTTCCATCTATTAACTATTTAGTCAACATGTTTATATAATTTATGTCAATGATGAGAGGTATTGATAATTTCGATTTCAAATATTTCGAGAACTATTACTCGTAGCGATTTTTATTAAGAGATCTTTTTACGTTAAAAACGTCGTAAATGTATATTTTTTAATTAGTAGTTTTATACAGGTACGGACGAAAAGTTATTACTCTTCAAACCAGTTAAAAATATGTAGGTGGCGCCCTCTACAAGTAGGAGCCATATTGACATCAAAATTGAATTTCTCATATCAAAAAACTCCCAGACACCAAATTTCATCCAAATATAGATGTTACTTCAGAAATTATTTGGAAAAAATCGAAATAAAAATTAAATTTCTACACCCTGTATCTCCGAAACTAAGCATTTTAGGTCATACATTTATACGGACTTTTTTACTTATTTTTATCTGCAGAATATGCTGCTGAAGTTTCCGGAATACAGTTCGGACCACCTTGTATACTATCTTGTCACGATTTAAAAAAAATCCCGTTTATTGACGCAAACATCTCCATTATTATCCTATAAGAACAAGTCCTTTAAAATTATATTATTACTAAATGAGAACACTTATTTATCGATAACAATATATTGATATCATCTCTGAAATTATGCACCACTATAAGTAAGTATGTATGTGACTATGCAATAATATAAACTCAAACGTTAATTACTAAATTAGATTGTATAGCCAGTACTATAGTACTTTTAGCTTATATTTTCCATATAATTCCATAAATATTTCCATACGAATGTAATACGTTTTATCCACAAACACGTGCACCTATAGAAGATGAATCTTGTAAATAAGTGCAAATATTTTCAGGGCTGGTAAATCTTAATAAACCACCCCTAAAATAGTTGCACTCATTTCACTCAGTCTGTATATTTAGTTAAAATTATAATAATTTATAAGGAAAAACTAGCATTTTAAAAATTTTACTCGAAATACCAACTATGGAACCACTGGAACGCAATTATTGGTAAAAAAAAATGCTTTTTCTAAATATGCTAATGAGCAACACTCATTTTATTTGAAACAAATTGAATTATAATTAAAAATATGATTTGGCATCTTTTAACTGGCCAGGAAAAAAACACGAAAAACATTAGACGATCAAGTCGATTTTCCCAAGCCCCTTGATTAAAAAAAATAATGGTTTGCTTTGGTTTGGATTGCACTCTAGATTGAAATTTAAAATTATGTTTTTTGTTAATTGAATACAGGGTGGCGCACCTCATTCGCCTCGGTTGATTATACGAAAACGGAAAGATGTAGAAACAAAATATTTTATGGGTATATATGGGAAGGCAATGTGTATAATTTAAAATTATTTTTAAATGTACAGGGTGTGTCAGAACTAAGATCCATACCAAAGTTATATTTTTTCTTATGGAACACCCGGTATTTTATTTCATTTTTGGATTCTTGGACATAAAATAAGGCATTTATTATACGGGCTTTTATACGAGTTTTTGAGATATTTACAGATATTTAAATATGCATGCTATAATAAAGAGAAATAGATTTTACTAAAAAATTTGATTGCTTCCTTAAATGTATACAGGGGTATCAAAAATTGCTGGTCTATTTTAAATATTTATTTTACATAAAAACTGCGTTATTTCAAATACAAAACTATGTAATTTTTTTTTGAATAAGTCGAAGCAGATTTAAATACTCTTTCAAACTATATTAGGGGTTCCTATACCTATCTGGCTCAGATTTTGAATAAAAAGCGATTTTTTCAATAAAATTGTAATCAAGATGGCTGTGTCGCCATGGCAATTTTCTAGTGATAGTAACTATTCTCAAAATCGACATTAGTTTATGGACTTTACTTAAATTTATAAGGGTTTATTTCTATTTAATTTACCTACAATATTTTAATAAGTATTATTTTATCGAGAAAAATAAAGATGTAGTTCTTTGATTTATAATACGATGACTTGTAGATTTATTGGATTTTCTATAAAAGAACAATTAAGGCAAATTCGTTTTCTTCACTTCCAACGACAGGTTCCTATATAATAGGTTTTTCATATACCACACTATCAGCTCTGCGAAATAGAAAAAGTAGTTTTTCAAAAGAACGCTTGTCAAGAAAAT